AGGGGGCAGGGAGGGCGCAGGGGTGATAAAGCTGGAGTGGGGGGTGCGGGGTCCAGGACCCATGAGGGGACGGCAGGGTCCTCACAGTGTAGTTCCGGAAGCTGCCCTGGTCCTTGGCTGCCTCCGGGTCCACCTCAGGCCTGTAGACCAGGGAAGGGTCTGGGCCCTGGTTGGATGGGGGTTGAACCCGTTTTACCATGATGCCAGCTCCAGGAGGCAGTGGGGACCCCCTCGAGGGCACGAGACTAAGCGGGGGGGGGGGGGGGGGTCGGCAGCGGAGGCCAGTGGTTGCCCCAGAGCACAGCGCCCCAGCGCACCCATCTCCAGCCCTCGCACCCGGCGAGGCGAGGTGAGTCTAGCCTGCAGAGCAATGTCAGCCGGGCGCCTGCTTCTGGGAGATGCTGTGCAGGAGCCCAGACCCAGCTGGACCTCCCTCCCGGACCCGGGCACGCTGGGAGCCTGGGGCTGGGCAGCTGACCCGTGCCCAGTGGGACCGGAAGAGGAGCAGCAGGCTGGCGGGCACCAGCAGGGCGGGGACACTGAGAGTGGCCAGCGGGGCCTGTGGGCACTGGGCCTGGGGACTCACCACAGCCACCTTCATCCTCAGAGGGAGCAGAGCTGCAGCGGGCATGCGTCCCACAGGCCATGTGCCCTTATATGTGCCCACTGTTACATAAGTGGTCAACACCACCCACCCCTGGCCGGGCCCTCGGTAATGAGTGACCATCCACCCTCCTCCTGGCTCAGCGAGTTGATGGGTCAGCACAGGAGCGGCCCAGCCCCTCTTGCCTGAGCTCTGGACTCCCTCCCGGACAACTGGCCGCTCAGGGTGTCCTGCGCTGTGTCCCACAGGCTCCAAACCGGCCACACCCCCGGGGCCCTCCTCACAGGCCGTGGGACCCCCGCCACCCCATCCCTCAGGCACCTGGGATTCTGGGCACGGCCTTGTTCCAGAAACACTTACTCTTCCCGGCCGGTGTGGCTCAGGGATTGAGCATCAACCTATGAACCAGGAGGTCACAGTTCAATTCCCTCTCAGGGCACAGGCCTGGGTTGTGGGCTCCATCCCCACTGTGGGCATGCAGGAGGCAGCCGATCCGTGATTCATTTATCATTGGTGTTTCTTTTTCTTTCTCCCTCTCCTTCCTCTCTGAAGTCAATAAAATATATATTTCAAAAAAAATGGGGGGGGGAGGTCAATTGTGGGGGAGGAGAGAGGAGGATGTATGTAATACTTTAAACAATGAAGAATTTTTACAAAACCTCCAACACATTTATTTATTTATTATATATTTTTATTGGTTTCAGAGAGGAAGGGAGAGGGAGAGAGAGAGAAACATCAATGAATGATGAGAGAGAATCATCGATAGCTGCCTCCTGCACACTCCACCCTGGGGATCAAGCCCCAGGCGTGTGCCCTGACCTGGAATCAGCTGTGATCTCCTGGTTCCTAGGTTGACGCTCAGCCTCGGAGCCGCACCAGCCAGGGCTGTTCTGACCTTTAAAATGGGAAGGAAGCGGTTCCCAGCTGGGCTCCACCAGAACACAGTGGGACAGCCATGTCAGCGAGGAGCAGAGCGGACAGGGTGTTCCCACCGCAGCCCCAGGGGCAGCCCCAGCCTGGAAGCCCACCTCTGCCCACCGGGCGGGGAGGGGCCACAGAAAGAGGCTGCCACGGACTGACGGGGTTTACGAAGGGACGTGTTCGCAGGAGGCAAGTTGTGGGCGGCTGCAAGACCAGACGCATCCCTGCGCCGCTCGACAGGGGCCGGCTGACGGGACAGTGCTGGGGTGGGGAGTCCCCGGACAAGCGCAGGAATGCTCCCTGGCACAGACATCGCGGTCCACGCTTGACCCGGTCCAACAAGGGCCTGTTCCAGGGACCGGCACACAGCGGGGCAGGGAGGTGCCCTCCGATGGCTGATGTCAGAACAAGCAGCAGCTGTGTCAGCTCCACTCGGTCTGCCAGGCCTGCTCCAGGCCACGTCCTGGACCATCTCTCCGGGGGGAGGAGGGAGGAGGGTCTGTGGGAGGAAGATGCCAGAAGGAGACCTCAGGAGCCGGGGGTTCTTGCTAAACTGACCTGACAGGATTCCTGCTGAAGGCGGGGCAGGGCGATGAGCCATCAGGGTGGGGCCTCTGCCAGTACCAGGCGAGACCCCGGGGGTGGGGGGGGGGGGGGGGGGCCGGTGAGAGGAGCCCAGAGCCCGCTGAAGTCTGTGAAGGTGACGGTGGGTCTCTGTCTGGCTCTCAGGGCTAGAGGTTCTGTTTTGAGTCCGGGCAGAGATGAATTCCAGCAGCACTGGGCCCAGTCTGGTTCTGCAGACACAGCAGGGTCCAAACGCACACACACACACCTGCCTGGCACCGACATCTCCATAGAAGAGGCAGACAGCAAAACGAGTCCTGCCAGCCGGCGTGGCTCCGTGGCTGAGCATTGACCCATGCACCAGGAGGTCAGGGTTCGATTCCCGGTCAGGACACGTGCCCAGGTTGCGGGCTCCATCCCCAGTGTGGGGATGCAGGAGGCAGCCGATCCATGGTTCTCTCTCATCATGGATGTTTCCATCTCCCGCTCCCTTCCTCTCTGAAATCAGTAAATATAAATCTATTAAAAAAGAGAAAGAGACACGACCGAGCTCTTGCTGCTCGAAGGTGGCCTGAGGCTCCAGAAACGGTATCGCTTCTGTGTGGGACGTGATACTCGGGGGTGAGCCTGCCTTCCTAGAGACCAGGCAGGACGCCCCGAGGGAGCCCCCAGACAGCGGGGAGCCAACGAGGCTGCTTCCTGAGGACAAGGAAGCCCTCAAAGGAAGGCCTGATGGCAAGGCGGGTGTGAACAAAAGCCTAACTGAGGAGCCGAGGAGCGGCCTGGAACCTCTTACGCCTCAAATCGCTGGATGTTAAAACCTTAGCACGGGGCCCAGAGCAACCTGTGTCCCAGAGGCCTGTGTGCAGAGAGGACGAGAAGCAGGTGTGACGATGACTGGACAGGTGACTGCAGGACCTACTGGGCGGGAGACTGCAGGACCTACTGGGCGTGAGACTGCAGGACAGGAATGAGAAGTTGGTGAGAGTCGCGTCACTACGCCATGCTGTCCATGCTGTCAGCACCAGCAGCAACACCTTCCTTCTGCGGACACCACGGTCCCTCCCCTCGCCAGCACCCGTCGTTGGTCTCCTAAGCAGAGCATGATTTGGGTTTCTGCCAGAATCAGTGATTCGGGAAAAGCTTAAAAAAAAAAAAATCTCAAATAAACGCTTGTCTCTCATGTTGAAAGGCCTTTTCCTTTTAGGTTGACAAGAGGTTAGAAGGCTGTGCCTCCTGCACACCACACACTGGGGATCGAGCCCACAACCTGGGGGAGCTGGGTGCTGCCTCCAGACCTCCAAGGGGGGTGCGAGGTAGGCAGCGGGGCATGGCCTGGAGCCCAGGGGCCGGGGGCACCAGGTGTGATGCTTTGACCACAGCCTGTGGCCTCGTGACGCGGCCCAGCCATGCGTTAAGGTCAACAGTCCGTCCCGCCTCAGGGAACAGCCGCCCTGGGCTCCGGGGAGAGGACCTGGCAGCCTGGTTACCGTGTGGGGGTGCATCGCGGGGGAACGTCCGTGTGCAGGCCCAGGCCACGGGCAGGCCCAGGACTTCGCCCCAACTCCGCCTTCCTGGTCCCGTCTTCCTCGTTCCCATCCCCTCTCCTACGCCCTCCCTGCCGGCCTTCCTCCGACACCCCTCAGTGACCACAGGCCTGGCTCTGAGGCCCGCCCACGCGTTCCAGCCTCACTCAGCGGCTTTGGGGCGGCCTCTGCACTCTCTGGGTGTTTTTTGGGTTTTTTTTTTTTTTTAATATATTTTTATTGATTTCAGAGAGGAAGGGAGAGGGGGAGAGAGAGAAACATCCATGATGAGAGAGAACCATTGATTGGCTGCCTCCTGCCTGCCCCCTCCTGAGGATCAAATCCACAACAGGGCATGTGCCCTTGACCAGAATCAAACCCGGGACCCTTCAGTCCGTAGGCAAACACTCTATCCACTGAGCCACACTAGCCAAGGCCTGTCTGTGGTTTTGTCCCTGACCTCTGTGGCTGCAGTGGCTGCCCTTAGAGTTGGAATCATGATTGTACCCCCATCACAGGGTGGCTGAAGGGGTGACAGGGGCAGATATGGGCACACTCAGTGCTGTGTGGGTGTTTGCTAAATACAAGAAACCACCTTCCTGGACTCCGGGCCATGTCCCTGTGACGCAGGGTGTCAGGACTGACAGGCTCTGAGTTATAACGTGCAAGGGGCTCCATGCACCCTGCTGTGCGCCGTCCCCCTCCCCAGGGTCCTGGCAGGCCCCGGACAGCAGGTCCCAGCGAGTCCCCCCAGTAGGCAGGGCAGGGGTCAGGGAGCCTGGGTTGCCTGTGGAGCCCCCACTCTTGTGTGCCATCCCCACGCCCCGGGAGATGCGTGAAACTGGGGGTCCCAGTTTCATGGAGCTACTCGGCTGGGAGATCTTGTCCACAGTCCAGCCTGCCTGCCCCTGGGACGTGGAAGGGGTGTCTGTTCTGCTCCGCCCCAGAACACCGTGTGACCTTTTTTTTTTTTTTTTTAATATATTTTATTGATTTTTTACAGAGAGGAAGAGAGAGGGACAGAGAGTCAGAAACATCGATGAGGGGAGGGAGGGAGGGGGGCAAAAAAAAATCATTAAAATATGTAAAATAAATAAATAAATAAATTTAAAAAAAAAAAAAAAAAAAAAGAAACATCGATGAGAGAGAAACATCAATCAGCTGCCTCCTGCACATCCCGTACCCGCAACCAAGGTACATGCCCTTGACCGGAATCGAACCTGGGACTCTTCAGTCCACAAGCCGACGCTCTATCCACTGAGCCAAACCGGTTTCGGCTCTTTCTTAAAAACATTTTTTTATTATTGATTTCAGACAGGAATGGAGAGAGAGAAACATCAAGGATGAGAGAGAATCACGGATCGGCTGCCTCCTGCACACCACACACTGGGGATCGAGCCCACAACCTGGGCCTGGGCCCTGAGCAGGAACTGAACCGTCACCTCCTGGTTCATAGGTTGATGCTCAACCACTGAGGCATGCCGGCTGGGCTAAAGCCAGGATTTAATCTGACGGCGAGCACAGCAGGGAGAGGGCCACACGCACCAGGCAGTGCGGCCCCTGGCTCCCGGGGGCCAGGAGGTGGTGCCTGGGTGCTCGGAATGACTTCTGCTCCTTGACCCTAGCAAACCTCGTCCCTCCAAAGCCCTTTCCCGCGTAGGGTGCGACCGGCCACCTCAGGGGCACACTTGTCCCCTGAGCATGCACACTGCTGGATGCACAGACCCTGGGCATCCGGACTCTGCCTGCTGACCTGCTTGGGGCCGCACAGGTGCAGGTTTACGTGTCCAAAGCAGTACAAGGTAGCTCGCTGCAGCACATGGTGTGTGTGTGTGGGGGGGTCTCTGCTGCCTGCGGGAACCCTGGAGGCTGGGCTGGGCTCAGCTGCCGCCCTGGGGTTGGGGTGCAGCATCTGGCTAGGGCATGGCCTGCCCCACCTCAGCCATAGCTGTGGGGGCTGCTGGGGTCCATGGGGGCTGGGTCCCGGGGGCCGGCCGACGCCACGAGCTGCCACAGGCGGTGGCTGAGGTTCTGCACCTGGCAGGTGCTCAGCACACAGCCCACCCGCAGGCGCTGGGCTCTGGGCCTTGGGGGGCTCAAGTGCCGACGGGGACCACTCTGGAGAGGATGACCCGCGGCAGGGGTCAGACGGGCGCCCCTCTGGGGTGGCTTGTGGATCACAGGCCGGGGTGCAGGGTGCTGGGGCTGCAGGCCGCTGGCGAGGGTCCTGGCTGGAGGCGCCCTGCAGGGGAGATGGAAAAGGTAAGCCTGACAGCCCAGCCGTTCAGGGGCCCCTGCTTTCTGCCTGGAGAACGCCAGGGGGAGCCCCAGGTCCTCCTGGGGCTTAGGACCTGGATTCTGGCTATTCAGCCACTCAGTAGCCCAGGCCCCTGTGCCATTCACCGCCCCTCCTGGGAAAAGGGCACCCCTGGCTTCTGAGGGTCACTGTGCGCAGGGCCCAGTGGCTCCCTTGATTTTGAGGTAAGCCCTAGCCGCAGGGTTTTTCCCAAAAAAAAACGGGGAGGAAGGGTAGGGGGGTGCTGAGGAGGGGCTGGGCAGAGGGGGCCTCCCAGGTGTTTGGTTTCTGCAGCTTCGGCCAGGGGACAGGCTGGTCTGTGCCCCACTCACCTGGGCCGGGCGGGCTGCCGGCTTCTGCCCTGGCAGCGGGTCAGTGTGCCTGGGAGCTGCAGGCAGAGGAGGCTGAGGCATCCGAGGGTGACGGGCAGGAGCCGGGCCATGGCGGCGGGCGGATGGCAGCCAGCGAGCAGGCAGGTGCGGGGAGTGGAGGGCTGCAGCCACCCTCTGTGGGGAGCCCTCGGCGTGGGGTGGGAGGGCTGGCACCTGCGACCAGCGGAGAGAGGGTCCTGCTTAGGACGGAGCCCGGGCACCTCGGGACCCAAATAGTCTCCCCAGGAGTGAACAGGGCGGGCGGGGCGGGGCACCCTCCCCAGGCCTCCCCTGCCCACCACTCCCCCTTCCGCTGGCTCCCCAGCCTCTCCAGGCCTCCCCTGCCCCCCACTCCCCCTTCCCCTGGCTCCCCAGCCTCCCAGGGCTCCCCTGCCCCCCACTCCCCCTTCCCCTGGCTCCCCAGCCTCTCCAGGCCTCCCCTGCCCCCCACTCCCCCTTCCCCTGTCTCCCCAGCCTCTCCAGGCCTCCCCTGCCCCCCACTCCCCCTTCCGCTGTTTCCCCAGCCTCCCAGGGCTCCCCTGCCCCCCACTCCCCCTTCCACTGGCTCCCCAGCCTCCCCAGGCTCCCAGGCAGAAAGAGTGGGTGCCAGAGGGGTGCAGTCCGCAGGGCTGGTTCCCACCCAGCGCGTCTCCTCTGGAGGTGGAGGGGGGAGTGTCCCAGCCCACAGATGTGGGGGGCAGAAGAGCCACCCTGGGGCCTGGCCAGCAGCCCTGAGGAAGCACAGCGGGCTGGGCACTCGGTCCCCCACAGAGAGAAGTTCAAGACCCCTCAGCCCCAGCAGCTGGTTTCCTAAGAGCCTGCTCCTGTCCTCTCACCACTGAAGGACTGAAGACTTCTGTGAGCAACTTAAACAAGTAGAGCGTGAGGTCCCCATTGCCCCCGTGGCTCCTGCACCACGGGGGGGGGGGGCACCCCACGCCTGACTTCCTCTTGTTCGCAGGCCGGTGTGAGCGTCACCGAGTACTCAGGCGCGAGCAGCTAAAACCCGTGTCCGCTGAGAGCGCTCCGACCCTCCCACTGCTGGCCCTGCTCCGTGTGTAGGTGTTCTGGGGCTGACTTCAGGGATCCTTTAGTTTTTATGTTTATTTTTTAAATATATATTGATCGATTTCAGAAAGGAAAGGAAAAGGGAGGGTTAGGAACATCAGTGATGAGGGAGAATATGGATCGGCTGCCTCCTGCACGCCCCCTCCTGTGGATTGAGCTGCCAACCCGGGCCTGTGCCCTGACCGAGAATTGAACTGTGACCTCCTGGTTCATAGGTCTATGCTCAACCCCAGGGCCACACCGGCCGGTCAATGGATCCTTTATTAAGGAGCCACGAGGTGACCTCCACGAGGACCCTTGTGCCGTGAGCTCACGGATGGGTCTCTGCAGGATGCTCTCCTAGAAGTGGAAATTCCGGTGCAGGGTGAGCCTGTGTTTGTGAAAACTCAGTGTCACACTGTGCCCCACGAAGCTTGTGCCAATCCACTGTCAACCCCACAGACTGAGAGGGGACAAAGACCCATCGCCCCCCCCTTTTCCCCCCAAATATATCTTATTGATTTTTTACAGAAAGGAAGGGAGAGGGATAGAGAGCTAGAAACATTGATGAGAGAGAAACACTGACCAGCTGCCTCCTGCACACCCCCCACCAGGAATGTGCCCACAAGCAAGGTACATGCCCTTGACCAGAGTCAAACCTAGGACCCTTCAGTCTGCAGGCCAATGCTCTATCCACTGAGCCAATCACCCCTTTAAAAAAAAAATATTTTTTATTGATTTCAGAGAAGAAGGGAGAGGGAAAGAGAGAGAGAGAGAGAAAAACAGTAATGATGTGAGAGAACCATGGATCGGCTGCCTCCTGCAAGCCCGTACTGGGGATTAAGCCTGAAATTCAGGCAAGTGCCCTGACCGGGAATTGAACCGTGACCTCCTGGCTCATAGATCAACACTCAACCACTGAACCACGCTGGCCGGGCCCGTTGCCCTCCGTGGATGACTGAGCATCTCTGAGTCTATCCCTCCCTCCTCGTCCTTCAGACCCTCCTCAGTGTCCTCCCCTCAGTCAGGCTACTGTGAGTGACCGCCCCCCCCCATGCCTCCTGCTGAGCACACCCTGGGAGCCCAGGGAACATGTGCTGGATGAGGGAGCCCACCAGTGCTGAGCGTCACCGAGCGCGGTTTTTATCCTGAGGAAGGTGGGGAGTATCGGCAGGTAACCCCATTCCACTGGTTTCCTTTTACCGTGAGGGAGCAGGGAGAGGGTCACGTGCACATTAGACAAGTGGGGTCAGCAGGGAGGTGGGGGCTGCGGGCTGGAGGGGGCAGGCAGGGAGAGACGGTTGGGGAGTTATGGAGATGGCAGGCTTGGGGTGGGGGGGCATGCGAGCACTGCCTAAGGAGGGTGCGGAGAGGACAGGGCATGACCCGCCGGCTGTGAAGGGACAGGCAGGGGAGGGGGCGCGGGGGACCCGGGGGCATGATTCTGCAGCTTCTCCCCACGAGCCCTCTGCCCCCCACTCCCTGACTCAATCTGTTGTCCACACGGCTGCCCGGTTGATGGTATTCCTCATCCCACTGATGACGGTGCTTTTAAAAAAATGTTTTCATTGATTTCAGAGAGAGAGGAAGGGAGAGGGAGAGAGAGAAAAGCATCGATAGAGAAACATCCATCTGCTGCCTCTTGCACACCCCCTACCCAGAATCAAGCCTGCAACCTGGGCATGCACCCTGACTGGGGATCAATCCCAACCTCTTGGTGCGCGGTGCACAGGACAGTGCCCGCCCGCCCGCCGAGTGCAGCCTGCCAGGGCTCCCGGAGTTTTACTCTGGGGGTGCAGGTGAGTCTCAGTGAGGGGTGGGTCCCGGGCTCACGGCATTCTTCCTCAGGACACGTGCTGCCACCAGGGGCCCAAGGTCCCATCTCCTCGAAAGCCCACGGACGGGGCGCCCTCTGGCTGCGGGCTGCTTGCTTTGCCTCTGGGACCTCACAGCCCCTGCACAGCACAGCTGGCATCTGGGGGCACTTGTCTGTGATCCGTGTGCCCTCTGGGGTTCCTTCATTCAGCCTCAGTCGGAGGAGATATTTCTGGAGAGTGGTGGGCTGGCTGCTGAGAGCTGCCCACCAGTGGAGGTGCCCTGGAGGGTGGGACCTGGGCCACAGCAGGCAGGTGGTGCTTTAGAGAAATTCATGCGAGGCAAGAAAAGCCAGGGTAGCAACTGGCTGGGCGACAGCTTCGAGGGCAGTTTTTTAAAAATATATATTTTTATTGATTCCAGGGAGGAAGGGAGAGGTAGCAACATCAGTGATGATGGAGAATCACTGATTGGTTGCCTCCTGTGCACACAAAACAATGGGGATGGAGCCCGCAACCCTTGATCAGAGTCCCCTCAGTCCACAGGCCAGTGCTCTGCCCGCTGAGCCAAACTGTAGAGCATCTTAAGATGAGCGAGAGTGCGTTTAACGCTGGTGGCAAGGGGCATTGGAGAGGAAATGACTGAGCACCAGGCCTGGGGAGCCACAGCAAGAGGCAGAGAGAAGGCTGTGGAGGGCGCGGGGGTAAGGGAGGCAGGCTGGGGCGTGGTGATGCCACACGTGGCTGACCGGAGGGTGGCTCCTGCGTGTTCTGTGGAGGAGGCCCTTGGGGGTGGGGCCCGGGTTTGAGGAGACTGCGGAGTGGAGGAGAGCTGAGCAGACATCGGCAGCTGGGCAGCGGGGTTGTCCATTAGGCTGGGCTGTGGTGTCCGGTGGCCATCTGCACTGTCAGTGGAGCAGGGCTACAGGAGACGGGTGGGCAGGACTGTGTGCGTCTGGGGTTTGCCAGACGGGGACGGTGAGAACCAGGCGGAGAGGTGGAGGCCACGGCATTGGCAGCTGCCAGGTGAGGGAGCCACACCGGGGGGGGGGGGGGGGGTAAAGAAGGGGCCGTGGGACCAGGGAGGGTCGCTCCCAGCAGCAGGGCCTGGGTGAGAGCAGGGAAGGCACAGGACCTTCAAAGGGGAGCAGGCAGGCCAGAGCAAGCACTTCTGAGGAGCACCATGGTCCAGAGCGAACCCCCAAACCTGCCTGTGACCCTAAGGTGCCTCTGAGAGGGCTGCAGAAATGGGCTCCTCAGGGCATGAGGGCTGGGCAGAGCCCGTCCTGGGCTTGGGCGCCAGGCTGAGGACTTCCCAGGGGCACTGCCCCCACCTCCTGCACCTCAGGTGGTGGCGGGACCCTTTTGGCTGAAGGGATGGAAACCAGTTCAAGCGGCCGTGACAACACCCGACAGACTCAGGGGAGGCTGAGACTGGGCCTGTGCACCCAGGTGGGGAGCGGAGCCTCGTTCGGTTTCATTCCCTCTCCCTGGCCAGCCCCGATTCGATGGCGGTGGGCACTGTGGGGTCCTGGGTGTGCACCCAGCCGGCATCTTAAACTCTGCCCGTCACAGCGGGGCCTGCAGCAGCCTTTCTCGTGGTCACGAGTTAAATGTCTCACCCGCTGCATGGGGCCTCCAGGGGGGCTGAGCCCCCCTAGGGCTGGGAACCCCGAGGTCAGGGCCAGGGTCCGCCCCTGCCGCCAGCTAGGCAGGTCCTGAGGGATGTCCCGGGCCCCTCCGGCGCCCATCTGGGGGACCCGCGGGCAGGGCCAGGCCCTCCCGCCTCCCTCCCTCCCTCCGGGCTGACAGCGCCGCGGAGGCAGCACTGGGCTCGCCGACCCGCGGGAGCCGCCGCCGCTGTCCCCGCCCGGGGGCGGGGCCTCGGCCCGGAGCTCCGGGTGAGGGCGCAGCCCCGCCCCAGCCGGAGCCCGCGGGCCTGGACCAATGGGAGCGCGCCTCTCCGGGCCCTGCCCGGGGAGGGGGCGGGGCGAGGCCGCGCAGGCGCGGGGCGCGCCCGGGCGGGCCGGCTGGCTGGGAAGATGGCGGCGGGAGCCCTGGCCGCCGCCGCGGAGCGGGCCCCGGGCGTCCGGAGAGCGCGGGCAAGGGCGGGGGCCGGGCCATGAGCACGCCGCCCTCGCGTCCCCGAGCCGCGGAGCCCGCCCGCCCCTCGCCATGGCGCGGCTCGCGGACTACTTCGTGCTGGTGGCGTTCGGGCCGCACCCGCGCGGTGAGTGCCGGCGGCCGTAGAGGGGCGGCCGGGGCGGGCGGGCCGAGGCCGCCGGGCCGGCGTCGCGATCGTCCGGGCACCTGCCGCGCCGGGGCGGGTCCGGAGGTCCTGGGTCCGGGGCGGGCGGGGAGAGGGTCGGGCCGCGCCTGCCGCCGCACGCGGGGCAGAGCCGGCC